GACCATTGATCCTTGGACCTTATATTATACATTTAGCATCTCGTCTATTTTCCATTGACCTTTGACACTGTGAATTTTACACATGCTTTTTCCATGGATCCACTTGATGCTAGGTGTTTGGACTCCATAGACTTCTTGCAGGCACTCCTGCTGCCCCCACACTGTACCATGGGCACGTGTACATGAGGCGTACTAAACCACCTCCAGCAGCCAGCTCCCAACCGGATATGCCAGCCGAGATCACCACTATATCGGGGAGTATTCCTTTTCCCTCTCTTTGTTTTTAAATTTGATATACGTTTTGAGACAAAATGGATTAAGTGAGGGGGAGGATAAGCATGTAAAAAAATTTCCTTTACTTATTTGATTGTTTGAAATTGAGTTATTCTGATATTGATGTGTTGGGATCGTTGGTTGTTATTCTTGAACTTCATTTTATACTCTTATTTCCTTTTGGATTATGACCATGTTTTGATCGAATTTAATTTGCATGATTGGCGATTAGTATAGCTGGTGATTTTTTTTGTTGAGTATTGATATTTTATGCTTATTTGATAGAGATGAACTTGACTCGGTGCATATAAACCTTTCTTGTGAGATTTGAGCCTAACGAGCATACATTTTATTTCTTACTCATTGCTTGATTTGAGTGTGTCGGACTAATTACGATATTCTAGAACTTGTAATCACAATGCATATCGAGACTACATGTTGAACGTGTTGTTTTAATGTGATAGGGGCACCTACGATAAACCCATTTTTCCCAAAAAGCCTACCCATTTATATATCCACTGGTGAACCACATATGAGCATATTTCCCTTATTTTGTTTTACACCTCATAATTAAACCCGAAGCCTTCATTTTAATTTTCCTCTCTTTTCACACCCTTGCCGAGACTTGAGATCTTGTATCATTCTTGCTCCACGAAAAAAAAGGAAATGAAAAAATTCACTGTTTCGGAAAAAGAAAAAAAATTGAGAAAAAAAAGTTGTTCACTATTTCGAACAACATAAAAAAAGAGAAAAAAACAGACTCTTCATTCAAATGAAAAAATTCATCTATTCTTTTTCGTTGTTTTGTTTTTCATTGTGCTTCATGTTAGTTCGTGGATTGTACCTAATTGTATTAATCTCTTGTCTTGGTACTTAACCCGATCATCATGGCCTTTTCCCTACCCTAACCTAAGCCCCGTTACACCTTGTTTAAAGACCCCTTGATTATTGCATTATGTTCACTTTTAGTAGTGGAGACTTGATTGGATTACAAGCCTATGGTAATATTTTGGTTAGTTTTGGTTTGAGCGATTTCATTTACCCCAAACAATTTGAGCGGATATATGTGAATCTTTGTAAGGTATTGAGTCATGTTTCATTGAAGTTGGCAATTAATTGAGATATCTTGCTTACTTTAAATTTTCTTAGTTGTGTCTTCGCTTGATTGTAACTTAAATTTAGAAAATGTCATGGACCTAGTTCGATTGGAACTTTTAGGAATAACTTGGAGATGGCAACTTATGATTTTGATGAATTAATTGAGGAATGCTTTAGGACAAGCATTGAATAAGTGAGGGAGAATTTGATAAGTGATTTATTTAGTTATTATTTTGCTTTTAAATTGCTTCGTAATCATTGGTTTTTGTGGATTATTTGTTCGTTTTGATTCATTTTTTGTGAAGGACGTTAGATTCTAGAAATTGCACTAAAAAGACAAAATTCTACAGTTTTTTTTTTGAATCAAAGTTGGATTAGTGGCCTTGACTTTGGGCATGAAACATCTGACAAGGCGATGACGTAAGCACCTTTTAGAAGGTCCAGTCAATGCTTCTAGAAGAACGAATGGATCAACCACACGTTTCTGCAATTTAGATTTGAATTAAACTCATGTTTTATGATATTATTTTAAATATTATATTATATTATATTTTATCTTATCTTTGTTTTAGGTATTTTAGTTTAAATAGTTTTAAGTATTTTATTTAGGATTTATTTTCTTTATTGTAGGATTATCTTCACCTTGTTTTTAGGATTTTGAAGGCTATAAATACCCTCTCAGGGTAAGCCTAGAAACACATCTCTCAACAACTGAGAATTAACTCTTCTTCTTTTCTCTAGCTTTATAAAATTTTCTCTTCTATTTTCTTTCAAGTTTTCAAAATTTCTTATTTTATTTTAAAGTTTTGTTTTCAAATATTCTAAGTATGACTTTGGTAATGCTTATCTAATTTTCTTTTAAGTCGAAGGCTAAAGCGAAGGCTCAAATCAAAACGTGAGAATTGTAAGGCACTTAAATCGTTTCAGATCTCTCTCTCAGTTTTCTGGGCTTATTTTCAAATCAAAACGATTTTCAAAACCAAAAGTCGGCGTTGGTCTGGATGTTTTTATGGTTAACGTGGGAGGAAGGATCGGCTTATTGAAGCACGTTCGACTTCCTGTGAACACACTTAGAAAAATTGTTTGCTAAGAGGAAACTGAGATCGGAATAAGTTATTGTTGAAACAACATAATCCGAGTCAGCAGCTTTTAGAACTTCAACGTTTTAAGATCTACAACATTGTTGTTGCTTAGATCAACTCACAAACCGAAACTAAAGAGTGCACTTGGATATTCGGTATACAAAGCATAGTCACAAGTATTTGTCCTTGTAGACAAGTAGCCGACATGAATCTTGAAGTAAAGATCTATTTCGATGATCCGAGGAATTTGAGGAAAAGCTGAAGCATGAGGTTGTTTTTACCTTTAGTTTTATTTATCTCAATTTATTTATTTTATTTATTTGTTTATTTAATTTTTATCTCATTTTAAAAACTCCCTATTTTTATCTTTATCATTATCTTATAATTATTATTTATTATTTATTATTTTATCCTTATATTCCATTTTAAACGAATTATATTTATTTATTTTATTATTTTATTTTTATCTTTTTATCTCTATCTAAAAAATTTATCTTCGTCTAAATCAAAAAGTCCACTAAATCAGAAACACCAGAGTCCCTGTGGATCGACCCTGCTTCTCTATTCTACTCTCTCTCTTTTTACTTATTAAGAAGTCGAAATTATTTTGATAGAAAAATTACAGTTATCGTATATACTGACCACCAATGTTGCCTCTCTTCAGCACGACTACCTATTGTCCAGAAAGCAGGCACCGGGGAGAGCGAGGACTTTGTAGTCTTCTCTAGGAGCAGTTTCGCGTATTCATCCTGTGAAGTGGCAACCTCTCTCTCCAGATTATGTGAAGATCAATCTTAATGTTGTTTTTGAGCCTACTATGAGTATAACTGTTGCGGGGGTTATTGCCCGAGGTTCCATTGGCCAGGTACTTGGCGGCATGGTTGCATTGTCCCCAGGTTTATCGAAGCTGGGCTTTCGGAGATTCATGCACTGAATGCAACACTTTATTTGGAGAGTGAGTATCGGTGGAAGAATGTAATCTTTGAATCAGACTCAACGCTTGTAGTCAACAAGATGTCTTGATCGAAGGAGGACTTGTCCACATTTGGTTATCATCTTTGGTAAGTTCATAGGATTTTGGATGCTAATTTAAGTTACAAAGTGTGTTTTGTTCCTAGAGTTTGTAACGCTATGGCACTTACTTAGGCTTAGTGGGCTCTCCGTTCTAGAAATGCCTTGTATTTTGTCTCGGTTTGTCCCAAGATTATTACAACTGTTGTATCCAATGATTCTTCTTTTGGTAATACAAGGTCCTACATCACTCTATTCTCCTTATAGGTCTTAGAATGAGTTTTTAAGGTGGTTCGTTTTATTCCTTAAAAAATACGGAAAATTACAGCACATTAAAAACAAGGGTAATATCATAACAACCTGATAACAAATTACTAACCAAAATGGAAATATCATATTACTATTTCCTATTTTGCAACTGCCTGCTGAGAGAAGGTGTGCGGCTCTTTTCATAACCTCTGCCCTCCCTTGATGTGCCTGCTGGTTTTGTGAAAAATAATGAGAGGCAAAGATGTCATTTACAAGCTATGGGATTTTGGCAAATTATTGAAGTTGAAGCAGTATGTGCCCAAAGATTTAAGCTAAAGAGTCTATGATTTATGATGGTTGAGTGGTGAGCCAAAGTTGGCTGTAGAGCCTGCTATTGCTGACGTTTGTAGCATACTATTTTATAAATTTCATTCATAGTAACCTGCTATTATTAATAGAACTTAATAAATATATTTGTTATTCTATAGTTTCCAAGTTTTCAAACTTTGTACGTAAATAATCTAATCAGATAATTTTATTTTGATTTGTAATTTATTTTATGTTTTTTTTATTATTTAAAACGTATATTTAGTTTGATGATTATACTCTAGAGTATTTTACTTGTCACTCAGATTTCTTCTGAGTTATTATTAGAATATATGTTTTTAGCAATATATTACGTGATTTATGTGATTAAAAGGAGTATTATTTTCTCTCGAAATCTTGAATTTGAGCTGTTACGTCGGTAGGGTATGTGTGCGTTATCAATAGTTAAAATGGATTATGAAAAAAATATTATCATTTAATCACCTTAGATTATTAAAAATATATATTTAATTTTTTTTTAAAACCAATGAATCATTGATTTAAGGGTGAAGTTTGAATCCTAAAATGATTTATGTTTCAGGAGACGTTGATATATTCTTGGATGCCATGATCTTGACCGTCCAATGTATGAGCAAACTTTAAGCTAAATGCCGGAAGGATAAAGCTTAATCGCTATGCCAAAACGGAACTATGAATGCCATTAAAATTGAATGCAAAATCGTGGTTAGAGCGTTCAAGAGATGCAAAAACTCTTAAGGTTATAGTCTTGAAACATGTTATATATATTATTTTATGATATGCTTAATCATCTCCCCTTTCTGAACTATGCAAGTTTGATATATGTAAACTGATCATCCAGGTTTTTGGTGAAACATTTTCGAATTCCATCATTTGAGTTCATCTTAATTAGGATTTAAAAGCAAAAGGTTATATGCTACAATTTCCAGATTGCTAACATGCATTGAATAAGAAAAGATAGATATGGATAATTGCTTCTGCAGACTTGATCAGTGGTTTTGAAGAAGAAGCAAAAGGGTGGTAGAAAAGCGATCCAAATGAGGAAATTTGGTCTGAAGCTCACACATTAAGGCTAAATTCTCTCGATGTAGAACACTGGCTTTCTTCCTCAACTTCTCATTCTCCTCAATGATGCTTCTGTTCTCCAAATACAGCTTCAAGTTCATTAGTTCCATCTCTTTCTTTACATCTTCTTCGCACCTTTTCCTGTACATATTTATGCATATAGAAAAACATAAAATATTACATGCATAGATGCAAAATGAAACTAACATACCTGCAAAGCCTGTAGATTTGAAGTTTAGTTTGTTTTGATCTATGCCTTGGCTTTGAAGATACATGGATGGGATGAGATGATGGGCTCCAAGCCATGTTGTTACACATCCCTCGTACGAGAATTTTTCTTTTGTATAATGAAGAAATAAGGATGAAAGAAGATGGATGGTGATGGTGGGATATATATATAAGCTCCTTGGGCTATAAATTTAGTTGGGGCCAGGAACAGACAAGATATTTTATGTCAGGGGAACTAATTTTTAAAATTTTAGAAAGTGACCAATTTATAAAATTCTAGGGGAATAAAAATAGATTTTACTCAGAAAAATATAAAATATACAATAATTTTAAATTTTTAGGAAGACGAATATCCCACGTACCTCTTTCGATACATCCTTGTTGGAGATTTCACCGTGTGAATGAGAGAGAAATAGAGAGATTTGGCTTTAGTCGAACTGATAGATGGGATATTCATGATTGTACAGGTAAGCAACCCCAAACATTTGTTCAATGAACAATAAATTAAAAGAACATACACCAAAAGTAAGCTCGTGGAAGGTTCTTTGCTTCCCCATCCACCTAAGATCAATTATAATTTTTAATTATGACGGAAAACAAAAGTGAAACTCCCTAATCACATAGCTTAGCCTATTGACAAGTAGTATTTTAAGTATTTAGATATATGGTTAACCCTGGTATTATGTTTATTAAACTTTATTCAACATGTGAAACATCTTCGAAATGGAGAGAACCCCACAGCATTCTGACATGGCTATACGTTCAACTTAAATTCACAGAAATTCTTGCATTCCCAATGTGCCTATCGAAATAATGTCCCTCGATCCAATATTTCTTTGTTTTGAACTAACTGATTTGTCCCGGTTTAAACCTATCATCTTTCACCTGATTCTCAGTCTTCATTTTCTGTCAAATGTCTTTGAAAATTATCGTACGGTGTTATATAGGATGGATACATAATTTTATATTTAGGAAAAAACTTTGAATATTTTAGGAGAGGGAGAACTTATAAAATTTTAAAAGACAAAAACAAAGTATAAACAATATATATCTATTAAAAAAAGCTCATAATTACCTAAAAAAAAACTTCAAATGAAAGAACTTCGAAGTTATAAAAAGATGTTTAACAATAAGTTCTGATTAAATAGTAACTTGTTGCGAAAAGTCAATCTGATATGTATAGATAGACGTAAAATTTTGTATTAGAAGGTAAATTTATAAAATTTTAAGAGGATGAAATTATAAAATTTTATAGATAAAAACAAACTATCAATAAAAATAAAAAATTATCTAAATTACATGAAAATTTGAAATTTTTAAGGGAGGCGGTAAATTCCCATGTATGCATGGCGTAGATTGTTAATTAGGGTATACTTAACAGTTTACACCTTGGCCTTTTAGAGAAGCATCATTTTGATGACTATAGGTAAAGCTAATGGGTTTACAAGTCTGTGGACCATTAAAAAGAAACATGAAGGTGGAATTGGCATCTTCAACTCCATGCGTTTCCCCTCCTTTTTTTTCTCATCATACTTGTTTTGAACACAAATTTCTAAGAGTCAAACCTCATATTGAAGGCCTGGGAAAAGATAACCCCCACCCCATTTCATCTTTTAATTTTTCTCAGCAGATGATCATGATATTATGTTTTTATTCGTACTATTATGAAATACTCATAATACCAATGAATTTCTTGGCACCCATTTTTAGAAAATGTACGAACTAAGTGGCCTTCAAGGTAAAGGAATTGTTGTTAATTCTTGAGGACCCGGGTTCGAGCACCATAGATGTTAGGGGTGTGAGCGTTCAATGTCAAAAGATTATGAGTTATCTTTGAACAGATAATGCTATGTACTCAATGGCGAAACTTGGTGAGAAAGTTTGGGAGGCCATTTAAATATTTGGAGTTTAAATTAAAATTTTCAAAAATTTTGAAGGGTTTAAATTATATTGTTTTCCAAAAATATTAGGGTCTAACTAAAATTTTTTAAATTTTGAGAGCCTTAATAAAAAAATAAAAATTGGGAAGGGATTTAATTAAAAACATTAAAAAATTAAAGTTTAATATGAATTTTTACTAATTTTGAGGAACCAAATTAAATTATTTGAAAATGTACAGGGGTTTAAATTATAACTTTTTAAATTTTAGGGCCCAGACCCTCACGAGTCCTGCTTATGTTCCGCCACTACTTGTAATTACCTCACATTAGTAATAAAAAAAAAACTTTGTGCAGCTACTTGGCAATCATCACTTAAACCGACAAAGCTTTAACTGAATATTAGAATATCAATTATGTTCTTTAAATTATGCAACAATGTGAACAGATAATTATAAAAATAAACTGAATCATTAGATCTGAACTGAAATTTTCGTTTGGTGAAAAAAACCCTGTTAGGAGATTACATCATTAATTCCCTCTTGTTACTTTAGGTAGGAGAAATGGGTCGAGTATTGGTTAAATGAAGTTAATTATTTCTGGCTCTTCCTTCATCAACGCAATTAAATGATGTGTGAAATTAAACTGTTATTATGGACGACAAAATATATCTGTTTTTAAAAAATTCAAAGGTGGGTTAACTTTATCCTAAAATCCCTAAAAGATCCCCAAGCATTGCATGTTTAGTATGTTTCGTAACACCCTAGACCAGTACGACATACAGTCGAATGATTAGGACGCTACATGTAACCACCGGACCGGAGTGGCTGACCAAAATTTTTCTCATTCTCTTACTTTAAAACAACCATAAAATATAAATAAACTTTATACTGGGGAACTCCCAAAATAAATATTTACATACAAAATAATACATACCAACTTTTAAATCAATTTACGACTCAACTTTATACAGAGTTTATAAATATACATGCCTTTCAAAAACTTGAGACGTACTCTGATCTACTCTTGGTATGGACCTCGGTCGCTCTACGACTTCTCAATTGCTCCATCTAATCTGTATAAGGAAACAAATTCCAAACAGTGAGCTAACTAGCTCAGTGCCACACTAACTACTAGATCATACTAATTGTATATCACTGAAAGGCTCAAGCTATCAAGTCTACTAGAGTATAATTGTATATTCACTCTCTACTCTATGGTAGACATCACAGTGCGGCTGAGGGTTCTGCATCTTGGAGCTCACACAACCCTCTAGTCTACCGAGGATGAGGTCCCCAGAATCTCTCTGCATCGGACACCCCACCCTAGACTAATTCGCCCCTTGCGAGTGTTAGGACTTGGCCTTAGTTAGTCAACTTAAAGTGCCTTGTGTACTCCCTAAGGATATATCCAGACTAAATCTATACTTTCGAAACTACTAGATTTTCTAAAGGAACTCGGGTGTCTTGATAATTTCCCGAGCATACAACCAAGGCTAGTCTTATTTCACCATACTTTATCCTGTTTCTACATTTGAATTAAACATTATTATTTTTCTCACTTGAAGACTTATTTGAGAGTAATTAAGAGCTTTTGGGAAACCTCACTTGCTACTAGAACTCCTCTTAATTTAATGCCCAAAACAAAACCTTGGTATCGATACTGGCCTTACAATATCAATACCCTTTATTCAGTATCCATACCCTACCCAAGGTACTGATACCCCTGTGCTAGTTTCTCTTAGAGGAAAAGAGAGAGTATCAATAATCGTATAAAAGTATCGATGCTGAGACCCTAGGTACCAATACTCCCTAGAGTACCGATACCAAAATGGCATTCTAGAATCTCAGTCTCAATATTAAGCCCCTCGGTCTCGATACCGAACCCTCAGTATCGATACTCTTACATAGGGTATAGATAATATACTTCAAAAACTCTTAATTTTATGCCTAAAACAAAAACAATGTTGATATTGCTTCTAACAATATCGATACTCACCCATAATTATGCCCTATTTAGGCACAGATTAACCCCTAAACTCCATAATTTTATTACTTTAAGGTTTTTCACATGTTATTAAGTCCTATGTGAATCACAAGGGTCATAAATAAGAGTTTAAACATACTAAAATTAACTTTAATATGAATCTACCATGTAAATCTACTCAACATGCTTCAATCTTAACTTTCTAGCTAAAACTCATTTCTAATGATCCACAACTGGTATGAGGAAGCTGTGAGTGTGTTACCTGACTTTCTTGACTGCTAAAATCCCTCTCAACTCAGCTAGGATTCACTTTTTCTTTCCCCTTGCCTTTGAACTTTCTGCTACTTTCTTAGCTAGACAAAGGGGAAAAAGGGATTACTACTTACTTATGGCTTAAAACAAGGCTAAGGATACTCCAAACAACTCAAATTTACTAGAATAAAATTGAATCCTTTCAATTCCTTAGCCTCTCTAAAACCCCATTTGGAAACCATACTCAAAACTTAAGATTATAAGCTCAAAATGAAGCTTGAGGAAAGGAGATTAAGACTATTACCTTTGCTTCTTTAAACTAGGCTTGGAATCTAAAAAAAACTTCTACCTTTTTGGCTTGCTCTTGGGAGAAAAAGAAGAGAGAAAAGAAGATATTGTTTTGGGTGGGTATGGGTTTCCGTAAAAACACCTAATATAAAGGGGATTCTATCCTTTAATTTTAGTACTGGGTAAATTGCACTTTGTTCTTTTTTCTCTAAAGCCCAAACTAAAATCACCACTTAACCTTACCTCTTGAGCCATCCTAAGCCCAATACTCTCATAAATTGGTCTAAACTGGTTTAGAAGATCTAATGGGTTCGACTCATGGGTCTCAATTTGACCCAAACTACTGACCCATAATTTGGGTATTACAACTCTCATCTCCTACAAAATATTTTATCCTCAAAATTTCAACAGGGCATCTACGACATATCTTATCTACTAGAACATATGCTCTTAAGGGTTGGACACTAGATCAACTAGGGTGGTTACTGAAATAGAAAATAAGGTTAGGGTACCTAAGATCACATCAGTTGTATCGTCGTCCTCTTGAACTCGGATCACAAACTGACGGGTTGCGACTCTAGGCTCTATGCTAGCTCCAAACTGAACTACACCCCTACCAGCCTGACTAGATGAACTCCCTCCTCTCTAAAATTCCTTACCCCTCTGAATTGTAGTAGTTGACTGTTGGGTTGACGCGGAAGCTACATCTTGAGCTT